TACTTTGGCAGGTGGTAAAATTCCTATCAAGAAATTGGCGCCGCTGCTGGGGATTGTTTTTAAACAATTTGTGTTAATCATAATTCTTTGTTAATTATTGCTGTTAATAAAAAATAAAAAAATTTATTAACTCAATTTTCGTTTTTTTTTTTTTTTTTTTCTACAGATCGCACAATCTGGGCATATTTTGTATATGGTTTACACCAGATCCCAGAGAATCAGCAGCTGTTAAAATTCAATCCAGAATCGAAACGCATTTTACGACAAAGGCACAGAGAGCAGATTTTGGCATGGGAACCTTCATTGGAGGACACTTTTTTGAAAAATCTGTTTTCTGGAGTTTTGGACAGCAAATATACCATGGCTTTTGCCATACCAGCTGCTGGGCGTCCTTTGAGAGATACATTAGCAGCCTATGCTAATGAATTACCCAGTTGCATTGTTTATCTAGAAGAGGAAGGCGACGCGTTCAAGATAAGACATCACATGTTGAAGATTTTACCTACTTTCATGGATTAGCTCATGAGCATCCAAATATGCATATCACAGAGTTTTTAATGGGGTGCAGAAATATCATAGTGAGGGGGTTTACTGCAGAGTCAATCAAACTTCGTTTGTTTCCTTATTCATTGAAAGACAAGGCAAGAACATGGCTGCTTACACTTCCATCTGCCAGTATCACTTCTTGGGAACAGATGAGTGGCAAATTTCTTAACAAATATTATCCAGCTTCTAAAACTCTTGATATGAGGACTCAAATTTTATCTTTTGCCCAAAAGCCTAATGAAGAGTTTCACGAGGCATGGGAGCGTTTTAAGGAGCTATTCAGAAAGTGTCCCCATGCAAGCATTGATGGAGACACACGGATGGGGATAATTTTTAGAGGATTAAATTCAAACACCAAGAATCATGTTCATGCTTCATTTGGAGGTTCTTATTCAACTAAAAATGCACAGAAGGCCTATCAATTGTTTGACAACATAGCATCTGAATCTCAACAATGGGCAACGGATCATACACAAAATAGGGGCGTTTTTGAAATGTCCATGGGGTCTCCATATGTATCAACTCAAATTGAAAAGATCGATAGAAAAATAGAAAATTTTGATGCAAAATTTGACATGATCTTGCAGAAAATGGCAGCTCCAGTTCAACAAGTTGTTGTCCAGCAACCTGCAGCAGCATGTTGTGCAACTTGCAGCCAAACCACACGTGATTTTATGGGTTGTCCACATAGAGATGCATATCCAGATTTTGTTGCAGAACAAGTTAATGCATTCAACAATTATCCAAGGCAAAGAAATGATGTTTATTCAAATTTTTATAATCCGGGTTGGAGAGATCAACCAAACTTAAAATGGGGTGGTGAGCAGCAAGTTAAACCACCATTCCGACCACCAGTCCAGCAATTTGCCGCACCAGCTAGAGCTCTTTGGGAAATTGCAATTGACAAGTTGGCAGAGGCTACTCGCATCAGTTTTGAACAAAGCAATCAGAACCTGCAAAAGATACAGAAGACTATGAATCAAAACATGCAGAATATGCAGGCTTCCATAACTAATTTGGAGAGGCAATTTGGGCAGCTAACAAGTAATATCACAGAAAGAGAATAAGGAAAATTTCCCAGCCAAACAGTTTCAAATCCAAAAGGTACAAAAGATTGTTGTGCAATAAGGACGTTGAAATCTGGAAAGAGTTACGACAATCACGACAAAGAACAAATTGACAATGGGGACAAAGCTACAAAAAGTGCAGAAAAAGATGCAAAAACTGTTTCTGGACAAATTTCAAACAACTAAGAATCTGCCCCTACCTAGAAATCATAGCGTGTTTATAATCCTCTTCTTCACTATCCCGGAAGGTTACAACCAAAGCTCAAAGATCAACAATTAAGGGATTTCATTCAGACTTTGGCTAAAGTCCAAATTAATTTGCCATTGTTGGAGGCCATTAAAAGGATTCCTTCTTATGCCAAATTTTTTAAAGATGTTTTCAGTAAGAAAAGAAAGCTTGTTAAGTCAGAAAAAATTGTGCTAACAGAACAGTGCAGTGCGGTCCTATTGCATAAATTGCCTCCAAAGAAGAAAGATCCATGGAGTTTTACTATCTCTTGCACCATTGGAAATTGTGATTTTAGTAGTGCTTTGATTGATTTAGGTGCTATGATAGGAGCATATTTATGCTACTTAGTTATGTTGTTTCCTTGCATTTAGTTAGCTAATTACTATTTATTATAGTGTTTTAAGCTATTTTTGTGTGTTTGTAGGTCCTAATGACAAAGTTGGCAAGAAAAGGCAATTTTGAGCCTTTAGAGCAGTTTTGGGCTTATTATGGATAGCTTGCATATGGAACAAGGTGAATGGACGAATTTGAAGATCAAGAGAGGCTAGGAATGTGATTAACATCTTGAAGAATTAAATTGAAGACTTGGAAGATAAGGAATCAGCTACAAAGAAGGAATATTATCCAAATTACCTTATCTTATCCAAACCTTATCCAACCTTATCTTATCTTATCCTATCGTAATCCTTTCCTACCTTAATTCCAACTTCAAAGAGGACTCATTTTCACATTAAATCACCTAAATATCAAGTTCTAGAAGCCCTATTTTCGTGCCCTAAGTTTATGCCACATGTAACCCTTCTAGAAGTTCTAGAATCTGCCACAAGGACCATTCCTTGTCCTCCTTAGAATCTAATTGAAAATGTCCTTGTTCTTTAGTGATTTGGAGTCCTAATTCCTCTCCTTTTCAGCCCAAATTTCGTTCCTCCCCTTCACCCTATTAATACATGATGCCACAACACTCAAAAAACCACCCTCTACCACAATTTCACACCACACCATCCACCACACCTCAAGAGCCTAAATTCACACAAATCCCCATTGTGCACAGCAAGGAAGGAAGGAGGAGCCAACTGGAGTGTTTCTAGGTGTATTCTATCTTTGTTTTTCATGTTTAAATTTAATTATTTTTGTTTTGCGAACATGAGGAACTAAATTCGTTTTAGGAGGTGAATTCAAAGCCATGAACATATATATGATATGAATTGATTTCATCCAATTATAGTTTCATAAATCACGAATGCGATTTACTTATCTATTTGATTGATAACTTATTCTTGTATGTTGATTAAGGAGGCCTACTTAGTTTGCATGCATGAATTTGATGCTAGAATATAAGGGAGTTTCACGTAATAGTTATTCACTTATACTCACAAGTAGTGGAGGTTGCTAGTCACAATCGTGTTAAGTGAATCCTTGGCAGGAGTCTCATGCGTTTCATAGTGATGAATGCCTTGTCAATGCTTATGATTTTCATAGAACTTAATGACTTTTGATATTTATCTCTATCATGCGTTTCATATAGGGAACTTGAGAAAGATAATTTGGTTGTAATGCGTATTCATTCAATTCAATGAAATAAGGAAAATCTGATGGCTGGTTGTGCGATGCAATTAACTTGGGGCATTGTCATTCATGGTTTAAAGGAATAATAACTGGAAATCGATTTGTATGCATATGTGTCATGTGTTGAGATAAACCTTCTAACTAGCCATTCACCCATATTTCACCTAATTTCGTCCAAATTGTTTAGAGTCTTTACAATCTGCTTGTTTTTACTTTAATTTCGTCCAAAATCCAATCCCCCTTTACTTGGTTGTGTCTTTTAGTTAGAATTTGTCCAAACTTGTGTTTTTAAGTGTTTTGAGTCAAGTTAAAAGTCATTTTTGTCCAAATCACCCTTTAGTGTCTAGTTTGAGTCTATTTGATTGTTTTGTGTTGTTTTGAGTCTTTTTAGTTTGTTTTGAGTCATATAAGTCTAGTTAAGTGTTTTTAAGTTTTGTTTTGTGTTTTTAAATCAGTTTAGAGTAGATTAGCATCCCTTCTAATCCCCGGCCTAAAACAATCCCTACTTTCATATACTATAATCATAGAGTTTTAATTTGAGTGTTAGAATATTTCACATCATGCTTGTGTAAACTTAATGTCTTATTCTATTTTTAAACGTTTAGGTAAAGGTGAGCTAAAGCCAACTTCCAGCATTATTCAATTGGCTGACCGTTCAATTACCTATCTTAGAGGGGTCATTGAAGATGTTATTGTAAAGGTGGACAACTTATTTTTGCCAGAGAATTTTATGGTTCTAGACATGGATGAGGATTTGAAAACACCCATCATTTTAGACCGCCCTTTCATGGCTACAACCCGTACTCTTATTGACGTTGAAGCTGGAACTTTAACACTATGGGTCGAAGATCAAACGGCCATCAGAAAAGTAAGAATGCATGCGTGTTAATGCACTAGATGGTTTATCTCGTGACAAATTTATGACTAGATCAACTGACCATTTATCCATAAAGCCTCCAAATTTCATTCATGATTGCATCGGTCCAAAACAAAGCAGCAAAGAGTGCTGCATGATGTTTAGCCGATAGACATTAAGAAAAAACATAGAATGGTGTTGCCAGACAGCCAAAATTTTAAGAAAATACAACCTGGTGAAAAGGCGTGGCTATTAATTCCAGGGAAACAAGAGTCTCAGTAGAAAGGCCCTTATATGGTTAAGCAAATTTTTCAAAACGGCAACGTGGACATTGAAACAGAGGGCAGGGGTTATGTGCTCAAGGTCAAGAAGTATCTACTAAAGCCATTCCTAAGGAAGTTCAGTGCAAGTGAGTCAATGACTCTGAATGATCCAGCAACTTAATCACTGGGCTTCTATTTCGTCTAGCTACAGACATTAAATGAAACGTTTACTAGGAGGCAACCCAATTCTCTAACTTTTTCTTGACTTTCTTTCATTTTTATTACTTTCAGTTTCTAGCTGCATTTAATTTCTTGGGTTATCATTTCTTTAAAAGAAAAAAAAAATTGTTTTACTCGTTTTATTTTAGTTTACTGATAGTATTTTCTATATTCTATCTCTGCTTTCAACACTTCGGTATCTACCCTGGGTAGCGATCTACTTGTGTTAAAACTCCAATCGGAAAGTCAGAACGTAGTGCTAAGGTAATTGTTTGGACTTGCAAACAGCAAACAAGACAAAAAAGATCATCAACATCAACCACATCTGTGATTCACATTGCAGAGACAGAATGTTATATCTCTCTCTTTTGCTAAGCTGCCATTCTTCAGTGTATGCCAATAGTTTTGTCATCTAGCTTCCTTTACCGATCTGGGGTATTTTCCTGCAACAGAACAATCAGGCGTATGAGTTCCAATGGAAATAGTCCGTATATCACCCATTACTCTTTGGGATCTCTCTTTTTTACATTCAAGGATGCCAATATTTAAGTTTGGGGTTAGTTCTTTCTCTGTCCTCGGCACAGTTCGAGTCCAAATGGCTCATACACATGTTTTGGGGTTCTCAGATTTTCATGAAGTTCTATCACGGGGAGAAGGTGTCTACAGCCCGATGTCATCATCAACATTCAGATCAACATTTTATTGTTTTTAGCATTGACAAGTCCCAGTTATCAATTGTACAAGTATCCCAGAATATCACAGAAACAAAATGCGTTGAAGGCATACTTGTTGCTCAAAATAGGAACAGAGGGATGAGTTTTATACCTGTTGCAATTCTAGGAGCTTGACAGTTAATATTTCCTTTTTGACTCAATCGATCTACAGCTTGAGCATTCTTCATCTCGGATTTCCACTCGATCTGAGCCACCTACATGCACACAGAGACGGACATTTAAGCTATGTAGTCACATTGAACCATTCTTAGCCATATAGAGCTCAGCATTTCACGACATGAGTTTTTACCTTTCTTATGCTCGGGTCTGTGGGTTTGAGATGATCTGCTCCCGATTTCTACCTTTCAAGCGACAGATCTGTGAGCAGTTTACACACATTTTAACTCAAAAAAATGAATGGATTTTCGATTCCTTCGTCTTTTGATCCCAAACACAAATGACAGATAATTAACATCAGAACAACAGTTTAGGGATGAATGTGTTTTACTTGCGGAGCGAAGGAGTCCAAGATGATCAGCCATGGATTTGTGAACTTTTGGGGTGTTGGTACGTCTCTTGTTGTCGATCTAAGTATTCTCACCGAAAACAAATGCACGCATGTGTCAGTTCTTCAATTTTTCTGGGAAAATAAGTTTAATGGACCTAAATGGCAGCAAGGAAAGATTTTCACCTTTGGGATTCCGGGTTTCGCTACTAAGATCTAGTGCAGATGATGATTTCCATGAACGAGACTCAAGAGCAATGGAGAAAATGGCAAAGAGTTTCACGGATGAAGGCTAGGTTGTGTGAGGATGAGAGAGTTATGGTAATATTTTTCCTATTTTCAGATAGCACGGCAAGATATTGCTGTTGAACTGAGATGGAGGAGCGGCTTTGGTTCTCCATTGTAGAGAAATGAGGAAAAAGAGAGGGATGAGAGAAATGAAGAGAAGAACCTAGCGTTTCTAAATGCACCAAGACATGAAAGAAATGAGACATTTATGGCTTTTCATTTGGAATCATAAGGAGCTCAAGCACGGATACTTGCCACATGTACAAATCTGGGATCTCCAATGTCTGTTCCGAGATGGGTTTTTGAATTGAAGTGAGGAGAGCCGTTTGGCTCTGGGCTCGAGATGCATAGAATCCAATGTTTTTCACAAGCCGGTGCTTAGGTTTGGTGCGTGTATGAAGTGTACGTGTGCTATCTGTATGGTTTGCAGCTTTTGTGCTATTATTGGACCTTTCTTTTGCGGGTTATGCTCCACTCCAATTGCTACATAATAGGCCCCGTGTGTCATCTCGCCAAGGCCCAAGTTTGGTCTTGCACAATGGATTTCAATTTCAAACCAGGTGCATTCTTTTCTTTTCTTTTCTTTTCTTTTCTTTCTTTATTATTTATTTTGTCACTTTTCATTTCGTTTTTGTTGTTTGTCATTCGTATCTTTTAATTATTGTTAGGTTTAGTTAGGTTTCGTTTTCATATTTAATTTTCTTTGTAGGGTTGTTTCTTTATTTTCTTGTATTTTCTTTTATTTTCCACACCTTGAGGACAATGTGTGATTTAAGTTTGGAGGTGGGAATTAGAATTTTTAATTTTTAATTTTTGTGTCAGTTTAAAATTTTCATTCTTTTTAATTTAATATCCATAGATTAATCTAAAAGTTAGAACAAATGGACATGGTGAAGGTTAATCCACACTAGTCTTTTCTATTTATCTTTGCTTAGACACTAATTCATGAGTTATACTTTGACAATTTGCACATTCACATCAACATGGCTTGTTGGGAGTGAGATTTGAACACTTACTTTTTGTCACATCCCGCCCCGGGATGGATCACTTCCCAGGCCCGCTCCACCACCATAGCAAGATATTGTCCGCTTTGAGCTTACCATTCCCTCATGGTTTTGTTTTTGGGAACTCACGAGTAACTTCCCAGTGGGTCACCCATCATGGGATTGCTCTAGCCCCCTTCTCGCTTAACTTCGGAGTTCCTATGGAACCCGAAACCAGTGAGCTCCCAAAATGCCTCGTGCTAGGTAGAGATGGGAATATACATATAAGGATCACTCCCCTGGGCGATGTGGGATGTCACAATCCACCCCCCTTAGGGACCCGACGTCTTCGTCGGCACACACACGGCCAGGGTTAGGCTCTGATACCAAATTGTCACATCCCGACCTGTGACGGATCACTTCCCCAGCCCACTCCACCACCACAGCACGATATTGTCCGCTTTGGGCTTACCATTCCCTCACGGTTTTGTTTTTGGGAACTCACGAGCAACTTCCCAGTGGGTCACCCATCATGGGATTACTCTAGCCCCCTTCTCGCTTAACTTCGTAGTTCCTATGGAACCCAAAGCCAGTGAGCTCCCAAAAGGCCTCGTGCTAGGTAGAGATGGGAATGTACATATAAGGATCACTCCCCTGGGCGATGTGGGATGTCACACTTTTAGTCCAAGTGTATTTTAATTTTTGTTCTTAGTAAAGTAAAGTTTAGTATGTGTTATGAATAAAGTAATAATTGTTCCACCTGAGGCTTTGCCTAATAACCGGCCAGTCCTGCCTAATCAGCAATGATTCTCGTGTCAAACGGTAGAGCTTTGGCATGGGGCAGGGTGGTTAGTTGGTTTCGTAGCCTTTTCGGCTCGGGTTATTAAGTCCTTAGAGATGTTCTACACCTAGTGCCCTAAAGCCCTAGTGGTTTGGGAGTCATTGGCCTAAAGCTGGCTACATGGGTTCGATCGAAAGTTTAAGTGAACTGACATTGCACGACCACTACTGTTACTAAAAAAAAAAAAATCGAAAAGAAAAAAAAAATGATAGTTATGTTTCAAGTCGAGTTGTGTGAAGTGTTGAATAAAAGGACGAGGGTTAAGGTTTTAGTCGAGTCTCCTTGGCTATATTGGTTCACTTTACACCAAAAGAAGTTTGTGAATTCTTTTCTAATCAGTTCTAAATGGCTTAGACTTTATGGTGGGATTAGCTGAAACTTTTGAAAAGATGTTCTGATTTTTAACATTTTCTATGGATTGCAACTTTGAAGGTGAAAATTTTTGTCATTTAGTTTTAGTTAAGTTTTTAGTTTGTTAGTTTTTATTTTTGTTTTTGAGTTTTGTTTTGCTTGAGGACAAGCAAAAAGCTAAGTTTGGGGGTATTTTGATGAGTCAATACTATATTATATATTTTACCCTAATCTTAGTATAATTTGGTAATTCTTTTGGTAGAATTTTGATACTTTGCTTTATATTTTCAATATAGGACATTCGACTTCCTCTGGAGCAAAACGTAACCAAACGGACGAATTTTGGAGTGATTCAAATTGGAGGACGTTTGTGTGTTCCTTATCTTGTTTGTGTCAAAATTTCAGAAATTTCTACCAAGTGGTTGTTTTCTGGCGATTTAATAAAGAAGCAGTGCGCGTTGCTGGAAAGTGACGTTTTTGGGTTTGAATTGCATTTTTGGAGCCTAAGATGACCTCATATGAGTTTGTGGCATTCTGGAGAAGTATTCAGAATAGTCCAAGCTTTAAATCCAGCTATTCTGGGCCAGTTTTGGACTTGATATGGGTCCAAAACGTGGCTGTACAGATTTCTAGACGAATTTACCAAGTTAATTTAGGATTATGTTTCTTATTTTATTTCAAGTTTTTAGGTTTCCTAGTTTTATTCTAAGACCTTTTACTAGGAGGATTTTAATTAGAGTTGTATAAATAAACCTTATGGCAAACCTAGGGTTTTTTGGGGTAGAATGTATGCAACTTTTGAGAATAATATTTTGGCTAAAGCTTAGAGATTTCAAGACTTATACTTTCAGGTATTTTCATTCTTTTTCTAGTTTAATACAATTATGTTGATTTTAATTATGAATATGCGTAACCAATCCTTTTTGCTAGGGTGGCCTCATGATCCTTAGCAAGAATATGTAGTCTCTTTTTAATTTTCTTAAATTTATGCATGCAAGTTTTGGATTGTTAATCACTGTGCTTTAAACTATCGATTTGTCTTAGTGATTCGCGACTATTAGAATATTTAGAAAAGTAATTTGATGCAATTTTGGTGGAGGGCTGTCCCTAAAATTGACTAAGGTTTCTTGTGGTTAACGTGTGTAACTACTTAGGATGGACGACGCGTCTTAGGAGTTATATGGTTTTTCAAAAGATTTTCACAAAACTTAATGAGTCTTGCATGTTCACATTCGATTTGGACGCCACAAACGGGTTGCATGTTAGATATACGTTCTATATTGGGGGTTCCAAGTAGGGCATACTTTAGGAAAACCTAACCTTCAATATGCATGTATAATTCATAAGGAATTAGAAGAACTACGTAGGATTGTTAAGGTGACGGCAGCACCCTGGTGCTTTTCCAAATTTGTTTCTCAAAATCTTCTCTCTTTGATTTGTTTCCTTTTTAATTGGTAATTAGTTATTTTCTCTAAATTACTTTTATTAAAATTCGTTTTTAATATTTTTAAATTCAAAATCAACATTTTCCAATCTTTACTTTCAGATAATTAACTAGGATTAGGGTTTTTCATAAATTGTTTTAAATAATCCCAGCGGAAAACGACATTGTTTGAGCCGTTTATACTACAACAACCTTGTTCTCTTGCAAGTATTTTGTGTTATTTTTACCCCTACTTTGGCATGTGGTAAAATTCCTATAAGAATGTCCACATTTTGCACAAGGTTTCCATATAAAGGCTAGTCCTCAAAACCCTGGAAATTTTGTTGTATATTTCCTGTATTTTTCAGTTACGAACCTTTCTTGTTTCTTCCCACCTCGTAGCCCCACAAAAGAAGGGACGGAGGTGGTTTAATTAGTGAGATCGGATTCCTTAATGTTTTAAGTTTTTATAGGTTGGTACTATGTGATGAGGCCTTATCATCACTAGTGATGGGTTTGCAGGTAAAGCAGTGGCAAATTTCTGCGCCAAGTATCTCCATCGACAGGTACTCAAGGATGAAGCATATCTAGCAGGCGATTTAGGCAGTTCTCTGCAGAAAGCTTTTCTCAGGTTACTTAACCCCTTGTATTATTAATGTTCACTTTAGCAATTTCCAGCGCATCCATAATAAGTTGTAAACAAATTAGTAACTTCAAACCCGGTCACGTTTCAACAACAACTGCCAGTCATTGTCACTGCTCCATTCTGTTAATGCGCCTATGATAAGTCACCTTGCACATAATTCATACTGACATACCATGCTCGTTCTTTTTCTTTTATTATCATTGAGTTATAGGATGTTTGTGTTCATGTATTCTATTAAAAGTCCCAAAAATAGAGATGGCAACCACGATTGAGGGCATGCAATGATGGAACACAATCAGTGGAAGAAAGTTGTAATGAGGGGTAGGAAGAATTTGGATAGATATGATTATCTACGAGATACTTTGTCATATGAAATTGCTTTTAACTGAGGCAGGATGGATGAGATGATGCGCAGACAAAGAGGCTGGAGAGAATTAGCTGTACTGGGAGATAAGATAGACAAAGTTTCTGGTCTTATAGAAGGGTTCATTTTTTTCTCTGTAGAGTGTTGAAGCTAAGAGTAGTGCAGTCAATGACCATGTTGATCAGTGGTCTTCTGAGGAGGTACTCTTTACACAGCAGTTACTTAAGCTACATTTAACAATTGTACTATGTTCTTATGGACAATTTTATGTATATATCATGTATAAAATAGTTTACAAGATCAACCATAAATAGGAGAGGAATACAAGAAAGAAAGTGGAGGAATGGTGCGGACAGGGATGGCAGCACAGCAAGCTGAAGGAAAATTTGTGAAAAACATGTTCATTTAAGCAACATCAATAGCATGCAATTAACAATTAAAGGCGGAATCATGCTTGTATGCACTTAAAACAAAACATTTACCCATGAAATTCAAAGCCTAGTAGATAGGTGAATCAAGACTCAACTCAAAACAAAGTGAGTTGAGAAA